CTGTACCATTTCAGACAAATGGCTATCCAGTCTCTTCTTAATAGAATAGAATAGACTAGACTAGACTAGAATAGAATAGAATAGAATAGAAGTATAGGATAGGATAGAATAGGAATATAGAATATAGAATAGAATAGAATAGAATAGAAGTATAGGATAGGATAGAATAGGAATATAGAATATAGAATAGAATATAGAATATAAAGAATAGAATAGAATAGAAGTTAGAAGGGACCTTTGAAGTTTTCTAGTCCAGCCCCTGCTCAAGCAGGAGAACCTATATACCATCTCAGACAAGTGACTGCATTCCCATCACAAGCTGAGCTATAAACTGTATTTACAAACCCCAGTCGGTGGAGTTCACACGGGCTAAACTATAGTATAAACCAGTGTTTCTCAACCTTGACAATTTTAAGGCATGTGGACTTCAACTCCCAGAATTCCACAGCCAGCGATGCTGGCTGTGGAATTCTGGGAGTTGAAGTCCACATGCCTTAAAATTGTCAAGGTTGAGAAACACTGGTATAAACCACGGTTGATTCACCCCTGGGATTCAGCGCCGGTGCCCTCCCAACTACCTGAACCAACCAGCAGAGCTGCAGTCCCGCCTGAACTCGTCCTGGGACTCCAGAGGGAGGGTCGCCCCGCCAACTTTTTCGCACTGCTGGAAAATACCGAAAAGACGAAGCTCCCCCCCCCCGCTTCCCCTCCCGCCAAAAAAAGGGGGTACGCGATCCCCACTGCCGGGAACGCCGCACGCGTGCAGCATTTGCAACCGGGCGCTCGCGTGCCCCGAAGGAGCGATCAATGCCGTGGGCGGAGCCAGGAAGTTGCTTAACGACTCGGAGGCTGAGCTCCCGCTTCCCGGCTTCTCTAGGACTCCCGACTCGGATGTTTAACCCTTCCAGTCCCTGATCTGATTCCTGGAGTTTTTCGAGGCACGTCCGTGTAGTTAGTTGTTTCATTCATTCATTCATTCATTCGCTCATTCATCCATGCTCCATCACTGGAGGCTTTTAAGAAGAGACTAGACAGACGCTTGTCTGGAATGGGTACAGGGTCTCCTGCGTGAGCAGGGGGTTGGGCTAGACTAGATGACCTCTAAGGTCCCTTCCAACTCTTATTCATTTTTTCCCCCGCCATCCACTCGAACTAGACTGTAATGCTTCTCTGTGTCATACATGTATGCTTGAGCGTGTGAATATATGTCTAATGGTATTTTTTGGAGAGCTGAATGCAATGACATTTCATCTTAATGTATGCTGATTAGTGTACATTTAAAGTGACAATAAAGATTCTAATTCTAATTCTATTCCTTAGTATAATATACTGCCAAATCCCAGGGGAATCTCAGAGGGTTGCCCAAGCTTATACTGATAAGACATCCATGGGAAGAATTCAATACAGGTAGTCCTCAATTTACGGCCAGAATTTCTGTTGCCAAGCAAGCCAGTTGTTAAGTTAATTTTGCCCCATTTTACGACCATTTCTGCCACAGTTATTAAGTGAATCATTGCTGCTATTAAGTTAGCAACATAGTTGTTAAGTCAGTGGTTCTCAACCTGTGGGTCGGGACCCCATTTGGGGTCGATCGGCCATTTCACGGGGGTCACCAAGCAAGGCTGTCCGCCATTTTTTTTGTCCGCCATTTTTTTTGTCCACCATTTTTTCCCCTTTTCCGGCGGGTGCCTTACCTCCCTTGGGCTGGGCCAGCTGGTGGTCGGCCTACTCCGTCTCTGCCGCTTGCCAGCTATGCCTTGGCCAGCGCAGTGGGCGGAACCACGCATGTGCGGCGCTCCCGGGCAGGGAAAGTTGACTTACGACCGGTTTAGTCCTCGACTTACGACTGGTTTAGTCCTCGACTTACGACCGGTTGGGGTCGCGGCATTAAGAAGGTTGAGAACCACTGTGTTAAGTGAATCGGGCTTCCCCATTGACTTTGCTGATCAAAGACTCTAGAAAGACTGGACAGCCATTAGTCCGAAATGGTATAGGGTTTCCTGCCTGAGCAGGGGGGTGGACTAGATGACTTCCAAGGTCCCTTCTAACATTATTATTATCATTATTATTATTATCATTATTATCATTATCATTATTATTTTTATTTATTTATTTATTTATTATGTTCCAGGCGTTTCTTTTTCTGGACATGCCAACTGGACAGTTGACACTCACTTGACACACCCACACCTGAAGCCCTTATAAACAGAGGAACACGGACACTGATATCCCCTAAACTCCGCTGAAGATGTTACCTAGCCTGGAAGCAATAGGAGAGAAGGTTAACGATGGTACAGGTAGTCCTGGATGTACGATCACAATTGCCCTCCAAATTTCTTGTTACTAAGAGAGACAGTTCTGAGGTGTTTGGCCCTCTTTCTTGCCACAGCTGTTAAGTGAATCACTGCAGTAATATGGCGGTCAAGAGAAGCTGGCTTCCCCATTGACTTTGCTTGGTGATCACATGACTCCGGGACGCTGCAACCGTCGTAAATATGAGCCAGTGGCCAAGCATCCGAATTTTGATCAGGTGACTCTGGGGATGCTGCAATAGTGGTTTCCAATAGTGGCGACTATCTCTAGCTCTGATGTAGGATGAGGGCGAAGATTCGTTCTCTGAGCTTGTCGGAGAGAAGCAACCTAGAACTAAGGAGAAACTTCCTGACAGTTAGAACAATTAACCAGTGGAACAACCTGCCTCCAGAAGCGGTGAATCCTCCAACACTGGAAGTTTTTAAGAAGAGACTGGACAGCCATTTGTCTGAAATGGTACAGGGTTTCCTGCCTGAGCAGGGGGTTGGACTAGATGACCTCCAAGGTCCCTTCCAACTTATTATTATTATTATTATTATTATTATTATTATTACCATTTGAGTACCTCCAGGTGGCCTCAAGGACTCTCTAAAAGAAGGCAAATGACCAGCTGTCTGCAAAGGAGTATAAATCCTTCCATTCCCCACCATCCAGTCAGAGCTGAAGAAGCTTCTTGGATGAGAAGCCAAACGTCTTCAAAGAAAAAACAAGAAAGTCCAGTTGCCGCTTGAAAAAAGCACCTTTGGGACAACCACGATGTGGATGACTGAGAATCTCCATAGATACTCTCTCATCTTGTTTTTTTTTTTCATATGGGAAATCATGATTTAAATAACAGCACCAGTGTCAGAAACAGCTCTTTAATGAGTTTTACTCAGTTAATTGTTCAAAACATATCATTATAAAAGGGAGGGGGAAGCAAGTGGCAAGCTGGGACAGACCGTGCACTTAAAGGAAAAACTTTTTCTCAAAGTATTAAAAATAAAAGTACAGATGATGATTAGAAACCATCATTTGAGCAGAACAGAAAACCACGAATGCTTGGTTTTAAACAATAGATTTTAAATGCCTTATTTTGGCCTTCCTAATAACTTAATTAAGTACTTCCAGAAAAAAAAATCACATTGTGTAGATAAAGTAGAAGCCAGGTACTATATCATTTCTATATACGATTGTAAACAGGAAATCTCTTTTAAGATTTATCACATAAAGGGTCCTAGAGCAGTGTTTTTCAACCTTGGCAATTTTAAGTTGCGTGGACTTCAATTCCCAAAATTCCCCAGCCAGCCCTGCTGGGGAATTCTGGGAGTTGAAGCCCACATAATTTAAAACTATCAAGGTTGAAAAATACTGCCCTAGGGCAGGGGTAAGCAATCTTGGCTCTTTTATGACTCGTGGACTTCAACTCCCAGAATTCCTGAGCCAGCCATGCTGAGGGGAAAGGGAGAGGTTTCCAAGCTGAGCCATGCTGGCTCAGGAATTCTGGGAGTTGAAGTCCACAAGTCATGAAGGGGCCAAAGTTGCCCTCATGCTGGCTCAGGAATTCTGGGAGTTGAAGTCCACGAGTCATGAAGGGGCCAAAGTTTCCCTCATGCTGGCTCAGGAATTCTGGGAGTTGAAGTCCACGAGTCATAAAAGAGCCAAGGTTGCCTACCCCTGCCCTAGGGTGATCCAAGAAAGAAAATGCTAAAGTTTCCTGCTCAATCTTCAAGGGATTACCAACCAGATTTACAAATCTGGAAAGATTACCCAGTATCCCACCTGAGCACCAACGTAGACAAATGAAGGAATCTTTAGTCCGATGTTTTAAGAGCTATATCCCCCACTTCCTTTTTAAGGAAAAACGGAAGTCTGAATCAAGATCTCCCTTGATAGGGAGAAAGCCTATTAAGTGTCAGCCAGCCGAGGGTCCTTATACAAGGACGTAAGCGCCTTAAGACAAAAATGTACCCCCTCCCCCCCAAAACACCGTACGAAAATAACAAAATCATATTCATAATTCCGTATCAAAGGAGCAAAAATTCCTGATGTAAACATTAGATTGTTTTCCCAAGTGGAAGGGACAAGTGTTTGTGCGTTTGTTTTTTTTGTTTTTAAAAAAATAGCCCATAAACCTTTTGACACTTGGTTGTAGAAAAGGGATCTCCAAACTTGGCAACTTTTAAGACTTTTGTGGACTTTCAATTCCTAGAATTCAACTTGTGGACTTCAACTCCCAGAATTCCCCAGCCATACTAGGGAAGTCCACAAAGTCTTACAAGTTTGGAGACCCCTGTTGTAGAAGAAAAACGAGGAAAAACAGCTGAAGGGACAACCAATAGTTTCACAAAGGGCTGGATGGCGCTTCCAAAGGCTTTAGGTTTTCTAATGAAAAGATGCCCTTTATGGGTGATTTCCAAGAATTACTCAAAATCTCAAGTTTGTTCTGGGTGGTCTCCTTTCCCTTTGCCACACACCCCTGCCCTCCCCCCTCTATTCGTTCCTAATTCCCAGTTCGCTGTTTGTTTTCTCGTGAGCAGGACCTTCTAGTGTGTCCCCCGCCAAAATCTTTTCGCTTTTCTCTCCCGTGTGAACCGTGTAATGCCGGTGAAGTTCTGATTTTGACCGGAAGTTCTTCCCGCAGTTGGTACACAGGAACGGCTTGACCCCCGTGTGAGTCCGCTGGTGCGAAATGAGGTTCGAGTTACGGTTGAAGCTTTTCCCGCAATCCAGGCAGACGTACGGTTTTTCCCCCGTGTGGATCTTCTGGTGCCTGGTGAGACTGGTGCTGTCGCAGAAACTTTTCCCGCAGTCCGAACAGATATACGGGGTGCCCCCGGTGTGGACCCGCTGGTGCCGAATGAGACTCATGTTAGAGTAGTAGCTCTTCCCGCACTCGGCGCACTCAAACGGCTTCACACCGGTGTGGGTTTTCTGGTGCGTGATTAGGTTGGAGCTCCAGCGAAACCCTTTCCCACATTCCAAGCATGTGTAAGGCATCTCCCCGGTGTGGATCCTCTGGTGGAGCGTCAGATCCGCCTTCCGGCAAAAGTTTTTCCCGCAGTCGGCACAGTGGTAGGGTTTTTCTCCCGTGTGGATCCTCTGGTGGATTCGAAGCTCCGATCGTTCGCAGAAGCTGACGCCGCATTCCGGACACTTGTACGGCTTCTCCCCCTTGTGGATGATGGAGTGCCTAATCAAGTGCGACTTCACCCGGAAATTTTTCCCGCAATCCAGGCACTGGTAGGCCTTCTCCCCGGCGTGGATTCTCTGGTGAATTGTGAGGCCCGAGCTCTGGCAGAAACATTTGCCGCAATCCAGACATTTGTACGGTTTTTCTCCGGTGTGGATTCTCTGGTGTCTAACCAGACTGGTGCTGTAATTAAAACTCTTCCCGCAATCCGGACATTTATAAGGCATGTTCCCTGTGTGGGTCACCTGAAATTCAATGATATCTGAGTTACGGTCAGCTACTCCGGCAGCCTCGCTCTTCACTTGATGGATTCTCTTCAGATCTGTGTTTTCTCCGACAATCTCAGCGCCCTCACCAAGAATGGCCTTCCCGATGTTCTTCTCTGGAGAATGCTCTCCTTCAAATCCCTTCCAAATTCTGGGAACGTCTTGCAGATCACCGCTCTGGGAATCCTTCGCGCCCAAGTTCCCTTTCACTATTCCATTGGTGCCTTCTCCTGAAACTTCTGGTGGATCGGTGGCTTTATTGGCGCTCCTCAAGGATTCACCTGAGGAAAAGAATAAGAGAAAGGGGAAAATCCAGCATATCCATTTGGCTTCACACTTCCAAGCTATTCACCAGAACCTTAAACTCAACTTTCTGGAAATCAGATGCCCACTTTGGCTACATTTCAATGTTGGAGAACTCTAGGCTTATTCACCTATATCAAAGGTCTCAAAACTTGGCAACTTTAAGACTTGTGGACTTCAACTCCCAGAATTCCCCAGACAGAACAACTGGCTGGGGAATTCTGAGTTGAAAGTCTTTCAAGTTGCAAGTTTGGATGCCCCTAGCCCAGGGCTAGGCAACCTTGGCTCTTTTATGACTCATGGACTTCAACTCCCAGAATTCCTGAGCCAACATGGCTCAGCTAGGAAACCTCTCCCTTTCCCCTCAGCATAGCTGACTCAGGAATTGTGGGAGTTGAAGTCCACGAGTCATAGAACAGCCAAGGTTGCCTACCCCTGCCCTAGCCTATATGATATGTGTTCTTTGGGCCCAAGATGGTAGTTTTTTCATCTGAGGAATGCTTTGGTGAATTTTATGATGGAGCTTTGCAAGGACCAAAAACAAAAATACAGACCAAAAGAGAGGCAGCCTAGTTAAAAAACCTGATTGCACTTCTACAACAAAGGTATATTCAATCCAGCTCCCCTTGGGCAAATCCAGACAGAGTTAGGGCATCCTTCATGCTTTGCCAGTGAAAAAGATGAAGCTTCCCCATCAAATAACTTACCTTGGATGGGGGAAAGTCCATTGTCATCTCCCTGTTGACAAGCCAAGGACTCCTGCTTGGACCCAGAAAAATTCAGGGCTGGCTCTTTCTTTGACACCTGCCATAGAAAAGAAAATGCTAAGATCAAAGAAGCAGAGAGGACTTAAAGGACATCTAGCTGGCCCCCTTGTTGGGTAGGAAGCCCCCTCCTCTATTCCCACCACCCTGTCATGGTTCCGACAGATGAAACTCTTCAAAGAACTTCGAGGCATTGTTTACCTTAAAGAATCTTTATTTGAGAAGCATAGCATCGGCATTAACACAGTCGAAGCCAAAAATTGAATTCCCCTCCCCTGAGCACATAGTATCAAAGCACAATTCCCTCCTCCAATTAACAATCATAAATCACATTCTCCAATTAGTTTGAAATGCAGGCTTTCCCTCTTGTTCTCCAACCCAATTCTTATCATCTCTTATTTCAATAACCTTGGTTCACACACTAGATCCAATATTGTTATGTCTAGCTAAACTCTCATGCACATTCCTCCCCCCAGCATCATCTAACTCTAACTCTAACTCTAAAAGTAAAACATAAGGAGAAAATGGTTGCATCTCCAACTGTTGTCAAAGCAAAAACATCCGATGTTAGCAGCGTTGACACGCCCATTATCACAGAGCCTGCAAAAAACTCCTTCCTTGTCCAACTATTTTCCAAAACACCAAAAGGCAAGACAAGAAGCAATGGATGGGAACTAACCAAGGAGAGAAGCAACCTAGAATTAAGGAGAAAATTCCTAAGGGTTAGAGCAGACGTGTCAAACTCGCAACGTCACGTCGCGTGATGTATCGGAGCTTTTTTCCCATTGCTGGCAATGGGATGGGCGCGGTTTCCTGATGATGCGTCTGGCCCACGGGCCGGCAGTTTGACACCCCTGGGTTAGAGCAATCAAACAATGGAACAGCTTTGCCTTCAAAAGTTGTGGAGGCTTTTAAGAAGAGACTGGACAGCCAGTTGTCTGAAATGGTTTAGTGCAGGGGTAGGCAACCGTGGCTCTTTTATGACTCGTGGACTTCAACTCCCAGAATTCCTGAGTCAGCCATGCTGAGGGGAAAGGGAGAGGTTTCCAAGCTGAGTCATGGCTGGCTCAGGAATTCTGGGAGTTAAAGTCCACGAGTCATAAAAGAGCCAAGGTTGCCTACCCCTGGTATAGGGTCTGCTGCTTGAGCAAGGGGTTGGACTAGAAGACCTCCAAGGTCCCTTCCAGCTCTATTATTCTACGTTCTATGGTCCTCCTGTAAAACAGGAGTCTACAGGGACTCCTCTACTTACAACAATTGAGCCCCAAATTTCCACGGCTAAGCAAAGCAATTGTTAAATGAGTTTTGCCCCATTTTGTGATCATTCTTGTCACAGTTTTAAGCGAATCTCTGCAGTTAAGTCAGTGACACGGTTGTTAAGTGAATCCGGGTCCCCCCTTGACTTCACTTGTCAGAAGGTCACAAAAGGGGATCACAGGACCCCGGGACACTGCAACCGTCATAAATACATGCCAGTTGCCAAGCGTCCGAATTTTGATCACGTGACCAGGGCGGATGCTGCCATGGTCGTAAGTGTGAAAAACGGTTATAAGTCACTTTTTTCAGTGCTGTTGTAACTTTGGTCACTAAACAAATTGTTGTAAGTCGAGGACTATGTGCACACTCACACCCCTTTTCCAAAGTCCAATGCACCATCCTAATGCACCAAATTCATTTGGGGCAGGGGTAGGCAACCTTGGCTCTTTTATGACTCGTGGACTTCAACTCCCAGAATTCCCCAGCCAGCATGGCTGCCTAGCCCAGGGGTAGGCAACCTTGGCTCTTTTATGACTCGTGGACTTCAACTCCCAGAATTCCTGAGCCAACATGGCTCAGCTTGGAAACCTCCCCCTTTCCCCTCAGCACGGCTGGCTCAGGAATTCTGGGAGTTGAAGTCCACAAGTCATAAAAGAGCCAAGGTGGCCTACCCCTGATTTGCGGGGAAGCCAGCACTGAGTTTGGGATCCATACCCGTCATTTCCATTCTCCAGAATGACGTCACTCAAAGGGTTTTGTGGGCAGAAACCAGGGCTCTGCCATATTTATTTTTTTTAAGTCAAAGAACAAAGACAAACCAGAAGCCAGACAAGGGAACAGGCAGGCTCTTAATATCCCGCACCTGATGCCCACTGTGAGGATTGGGGATGATGGATCTTATTCTGCTTCCACTACAGAGCTATATGGCACTGCTCAAACATGACTTATGTGGATCTGCCCTCTCCAACAAAATGATGGAGAAAAGCAAAGTCTTACATTTAGGCAGGGAAAACCAAACACACAAATACAGACTGGGCGAGATCTGGCTTAAAAACAGTAACTGTGAGAGGGACCTTGGAGTCTTAGTGGACGATCACTTAACCATGAGCCAGCAGTGTCCAGCAGCAGCAGCCAAAAAAGCTAATACAATCCAGGGTTGTATAAACAGAGGCACAGAATCAAGATCACGCAAGGTATTATTACCGCTTTATAAAACCCTAGTAAGACCACACCTGGAATACTGCAGCCAATTTTGGTCACCATATCACAAAAAAGATGTTGAGAGTTTGGAAAAAATTAAAGAGAAGAGCAACTAAGATGATCAAAGGCCTGGAGACTAAACATACGAAGAACGGCTGCAGGACTTGGGTTTGGCTAGTCTAAAGAAAAGAAGAAACAGGGGAGACACAATAGTGTTGCAGTATCTGAGGGGCTGCCACTAGGCAGAGGGGGCCAGGTTGTTCACCAAAGCACCAGAGGGCAGGACGACTTTGTTACCAATCTTTGACATAGTTCCTCTCTTCGTTGGACCTTAATTCCTCTTTGAAGAACTGTCACTCCTGTTAGTTGGTCACCTTATCGAACGGAGGTCTTTAGCACCCGCGAGGTAGTGACCTCTAAAAGTTCTCTTCTGACCTGTCAATGGACAGACTCTACCATATCCAGTCACCACCGCTTGGATACCGTGGCGTGCCAGAGGCGGCACTCAGAGCCCTCTCTGTGGGCACGCACACCATGCCCCGGAGATGGCAACCGTCCCTCTTCAACCAGCTGCCCACTAAATCGCGAGGTCCCACATGGCCAGATGCATCCCAGCACCCATGTGCTCGCTGGCCTCTGTGTGCAGGGGCTGATGGTGTCAGGCAGCAGCCGCCCCGGCCCCTGCCTCACCTTTCCCTGTGACAATGGCACTCCCGCCCTGCCTCGCCTCACCCCGCAGGACGAGCCTCCTGCCCACCGCCCCACCTGCCAGAGACCCCCTGGATCTCCCCCAACTCTGCCCAGCCCCCACCGGCGTCCCTCCCCACGAGCAACATCGAGGTGATCACGCCCACCTTGGCCACACCCACCCAACCTGCCATGACCACCACAGCCACGCCCACCCAGTGGGCCACGCCCACCTGGCACCCAGCGATAAATAAGTGGGTTTTGGGTTGCAGTTTGGGCACTCGGTCTCTAAAAGGTTCACCATCACTGGTATAGGTCAGTGGTGGCGAATTTATGGCACGGGTGCCAGAGGCGGCACTCAGAACCCTCTCTGTGGGCACGCGCGCCGTCGCCCCAGTCCTAGGCCTTCAGCTGGGTTTTATAAAACCTTTTCACTTTAGGCCTCCGCCGCTGTGTACAAAAAAAAGAGGTTCAATCAATCAGTCAATTTCAATTTCTCGGGGGAAAAAAAAAAGATCTTGCAAAGTTGGAATTGATTGATTGAACTTTTTAGTCCCACCCAGTCTGCTGTTACCACCGCAGCCACACCCACCCAATGGGCCACACCCACCCAATGGGCCACACCCACCCGGCAGCCGACGATGCATAAGTGGGCTTTGGGTTGCAGTTTGGCCACTCGGTCTCTAAAAGGTTCGCCATCACTGGTATAGGTTCTCCTGCTTAAGCATCATTTTACTTCCGGCTTCTGGCAATAAACGCCCATGGCGAACAACGGGTTCGCTTAACAAACAGGGCAGGCTCAATTCTGATCATAAGTCAAAGACTACCTGTGCTGGCTAGGGAATTCTGGGAGTTGAAGTCCTTACTACCTTAAAGTTGCCGCGGTTGAGAGAGGCCGGTCTAAGCAATTCTAGGTAGGGCCGCACCCTCCGATTCCTCATCCCAAACCACGCGTCCTTCTCACCTGCTCACCCAGCATCTCACGTACCCATTCCTTCTGCTGGAAGCCCTCGGCCAGAGCCACTGCCTGGGCACAGGTTTGGGGGCAACCCTCCACCACCCAACTCTGGATCTCCGGGGGCAGGATGGTCAGGAACTGCTCCAGGACCAGCAGCTCCAGGATCTGCTCCTTGGTGTGCCTCTCCGGCTTCAGCCACCGGCAGCAGAGGAACCAGAGGCGGCTGCAGGCCTCACGGGGACCCCTAGCCTCCTGGTAGAGGAACTGGCGGAAGTGCTGGCGCTGAATCTCCAGGACGACAGTCTCTGCCTCCGGAAACCATTCTTTCAACGGCTCGGAGGATTTCAGGTCTCGGTGGGGCCCTTGGGATTCCCCGCCGAAATCGGGCTGGGTTTGGGTCGCCCGTTCTTCTGTGAAGCGCCGGGTGTCTCTGGCCTTCATCTGCCCAGAGGCCGGAAGTATTGCTGAAGAGGCCTGGAGAGACGAGCTCAGCTCTTGTAGGCTTGAGCACCCAAGTCCAGGAGTCACCACCGTCTTAAGGAAGTCTTTCCACTGAGTGTCCTCAGAAAGGGGAAAGCCCTCCAGGTCCAACTCTTCTTTAATCAAGTCTCTTGGAGACCTTATCAGAAAAGCCCTGGTGCTTCCAGTCTGGGAGGCCCCAGCGCGTTCCCTGCCCTTCGCTCCTGCCCTGGAATCTGAGGTCTCTTCCCATCCTGCCATCTCCTCCTCGGCGGGCACGTCTGTCTCTTCTCCCTGCTCCTCCGTTTCCACGTCCAAGGTCACCTCTGGCTTTGGCCTGGCCTGGATCGCGGGGCCCAAATCCAACAGGGCTCCCTCCTCCATCGCCATCCTGGACAAGGTTAACGGCCAACCATCAGCCTGCCTTCCGAAGCGTCTCGGCGTGTCTTTCCGGCTGACAGGAAATAGCAAGGTAAGAAGTAGTCAGAAGTAGGCGCCTTGCCCAACGCCAAGAAGCTTCTTTCTGAAAAGAGATTGGAGGGGGGACAGAAATTAGAACGAGAAGGAAACTACAGGTTGTCAAGGTTGAATTGCTAAGATGGTTGCTAACCTGTGTTGCTGTTCAACTTGCCGTAGAAACAGGGGGGGGAGGAGAGCTTGGGAAAGAAACGGGAGTTTCAAGAAGCCATCCATGGACCGTGAGACCCGAGGTCATCCAAAACAGGTGTCTGGCGGAGAAGTGGGACCGTCCCCATAACAAACAGCAAGGATTATAGGAAAGATTTTAGACTGTGCAGAAATGAACAAACTAACTCCAGAAATGAAAGACAAAGAAATTACTGAATTTCACGAGGTATGGGACATGTATTATAGCTGGTTAGAATTAAGGAATAAAAAAGTAAGAGAAGTAATGTAAATAATTGTTAATAAATGTAAGAGATATAGGACATAGTATTGTTAAGGAAAAAGGAAAATGTATTGTGTATTTTGTTTGTTTGAAAAATAAAAAATATATTTAAAAAAAAACCCCAGCAAGGATGTGATTGGGCAATGTGAACACATGGTGGGTGGGGGACATGAAAAGCTATTGTTAACTAACCAGATTTTTGCGCAGGAAAACTAGAGATGATTTTGCTTCTTCGGTGCCGGGATGTGTAAAACTGGCAGGAATAGCCAACACCCCAGAAGATCAACTCGGGATCCAAAAAGATCTTGACAAACTCGAAAAATGGGCCCTATCCAACAAAATGGGTTTCAAGCAAAGTTTTACATTTGGGCAGGAAAAATCAAAGGTACAAGTACAGATTGGGCTCAAAAACAGTAACTGTGAGAGGAACCTTGGAGTCCTGGTGGACGATCGCTTGATTATGAGCCAGCAGTGTGCAGCAGCAGCCAAAAAAGCTAATACAATCCGGGGTTGTATAAACTGAGGCATAAGAATCAAGATCACGCGAAGTATTAGTACCGCTTTATAAAACCCTAGTAAGACCACCCCTGGAATACTGCAGCCAATTTTGGTCACCATATCACAAAAAGACTCTAGAAAGAGTACAGAGAAGAGCAACAAAGATGATTAGGGGACTGGAGGGTAAAGCATATAAGGAACGGCTGCTGGAATTGGGTATGTCTAGTTTAACGAAGAGAAGGACGAGGGGGGACATGATAGCCGTGTTCCAATATCTCAGGGGCTGCCATAAAGAAGAGGGAGTCAAGCTATTTTCCAAAGCGCCTGAAGGCAGGACAAGAAGCAACGGGTGGAAACTAATCAAGGAGAGAAGCAACCTAGAACTAAGGAGAAACTTCCTGACAGTGAGAACAATTAACCAGTGGAACAACCTGCCTCCAGAAGCAGTGAATGCTCCAACACTGGAAGTTTTTAAGAAG